ACATATAAAAAAAAGGTTGGGGGAAAACAAAACTGCATTTTAGTTCAGCACATAACGTTGGAATATCATTTGCAATCAAACAAATATTTTATTTTCATAATTTTAAAAATTATATATAATTAAATTAAGCTCCAACAACCTCAGCTTCACCTTCCATAGAAACATCCTCTACAGGCCTATCAAGCTTGACACCCAAATCTTCCTTGTAATCACCATGCACCTGCAATCATCATGAAGTGGTAAGTAAAACTCATGTTATTCTAATGAAGATTTTTATACACACAACACTCGGATTCCTATGTTTTTACACATCTAACATCTAAACTCCAATTTTTACATGCAATACACCCTACCTATGTTTGAAAAGGTGCATTTCACCTTTTAAAAGAAAAAAGGTGGCATTTTTTATGTGATAGATTTGTTAATACATAGGAATTGGGTGAGTGGCATGTAAGTGAGTGGAACAAATCATACATATCTACAATCAGTTCAGAGAGAGCGGCAGCAAGCATGCATACCTCCATGAGCTTCCCAAGATCAAATTTTGGAGCCTTCAAAATCTTAACTTTTCGAATAAACACATTCTGAAGCGGGTAAATACTTGTCGTCGCCTTTTCAATCTCCTTGCCAATCACCTCGGGAATGAATTTTTGCACCAGTTCCTTTAGATCACAGGACGATGCTTGGTTTATCATTATCTCTCTCATTTTTCGACGAATCTATAAAAAACAGCAAAAAATGGCAAGTAAACTTATGAAAGTTGAAAAATAAAAGGGGTTGACCAAATTAGAATAGAAAATTTAATTTTGGGGGTGCCGAACCTGTCTGATCTGACTGGACTGAGCATAACAAGTGCGCTTGACCTGATTAGGGCGTCTTTTTGTGAATGCGATACAAAATAGCCTCATGGTGTAGTTGTCGGTGGTCTTCACATCTACTTGTGCCTCAATGAGAGTTTGCCACTTGCGAACTAGGGACCTGAGTTTATCAGTAGTAAAATCCATGCCCTATGGTAAAGAATGTCCAGCATATAATCATTAGTGCCTAAAATAAAATAATAAATATATATAAAAAAAAGTTTTTTGGTGGCTTACCCAGAAGTTTGTGAGGACATTCTTGCCTTGCACATCTTCTGCACGAAGCCTAATCTTTCTGTAAGCTTGATCTTCATCATTCTGAAGGTCTGCCAGAGAGATCTCAAATACTCTGTGCTTGAGACCTTCGGAGGCTATCTGAGATAAGAAGATGAAACAGTTCATCTAAATCCTGTGGTTGACTGACAATTTGGTCATAAAATCATAATTTGCTGCTAAGCAACACCGCATTGCTCAATTAGAATATATATCAGGGACATACTTATTTTTAAAAAAGATTTATAAGAGGCATTTATGTACATACAACACAATTCTTACGTATTTACATATCTAACACCTA